ATTGCTTTGGGCTGATCTGAGGTCTCACTGCTCTTGTGTGTTAGTCATCTATTCCACATAACCTCTTTTTAAATGCATATGCGTAGACTTCTGTGGCGACTGAACAACGTTTTGCCCTGATAGTTGGAGCAACTCCTGTGGTCTGTTTTTTTTGAACACTGGTATTACAGCCCCGTTATGAAGGTTATTGATATTTTCTCGTGACCGCTTCAGATTAAGAGGCACGTGTTAGAAAAGAATTGGCTTATTTGACCGGCATTTTATGGTTGCTTTCATCGCATGTACTAGCCCTTGCACTTTCCGTGCTTTTTACTGCTTCTTTCCTTGTGGGTCTGATGTTCCGTGGCAATCCGTCTCATAATGAATTGAATTCACTCGCTTCCTAATGACCGTTGAGGCAGTCTTGAAATCGGGGGGGGGGAGGATACTATCATTTGTTATGGTATTTAGCACTTACAACATTCGTTAATTGTTCTCTACTGGTATTAAAATGGCTCATTATAATCACCTGCTTTTAGGTGAAACACTTCCGAATTGAAAGTTTGCTCTGTCTCCTGTCATATGCAGGACAATAAAGGAACGGATAGACAGAGAATGGATGGATGTTGTTTCTTGAGTTAAGGAAGTACGGATATCTTGTTTGTTTCTTCAACAGAAATGGTCTTTAGATGCGACAGATCTTTCCCTGTCCCACCACCGATGATTCGACGAATCGTTCACAAGATTTTGGTGTCGCTGCGCACTAATAAGAATCGTCGCACAAGTTCAGCTGCATAAACCAGCGTTTTAGACTGATTAAAATATTGCTTGGATTTATTAAGAAGTTCATGCATACTTTCCTCTTGAAGAGAATGACGTGCAAGAAGCACAGAAAAACTGCCGAGATCTCTTGTCCGGAGCCGTTTAAATGTGATTCCTCATTTGCTTCATTTCAGTTTGCTTTGCCATTATCCTGCCTTTTGATTTACACTCTTTACTTCCACATCGTACATCAATGTTTCAAACTTTTCCCGTACTTGTTACTCGAAATTCTGTGGCAACAGTACTTTTTTCGAAATTTTTGAGAAATACCCTAATCGTGGCTTCCGTTCGGGAAACTGAAGCGTCGGATTACGGAATAAAGCATTTGTTATGCATGACGCTGACTTTGGCTGAAGAGGAATATAGGTTAGAGTTCGTTGGCGTGCATTAAAAATGAACTTAACAAACTAACGTATATAACTTAGCTTACTATCTCATCCAAATAAATGACTCTAATTCAGGGATTATCATCGGCAGACCAATTATCATGGCGGCCGAAGGAAAGCTATCGTAGTTTCCATAGCCATCGCCGAAAAGATGCGTAACGAACGTGACATCAGAATGAGTCTCTGAATTCGTTACGACTTGTCGAACTGCACATACTACCATGATGTGCGGAGCGGATGACCAGCCGGTTCTTTAACACATTTTTGTTACCTAAAAATTGAAACTTTTTCGTTTTTAGCTACCAGTGTATCAGGCCTCAGAAGGCGCTGCATCATCATTACTTTTCAGAAACTCATTTGCAGATATGCTGCAAATCATGAGAAATCAGAATGCTGACCGCAAACCGTAGGTGGTCTAAGTACTCCCGATTTATACCCAGCCCACGAATTTCTAAACGAAATGTCTTCTAAACCTCCCTTACGGTTGATGCTGTCAATAACACCGCAGATTTTGTGTCTCACATGGAACCCTTGTTTCAATTTTGAACTTGCCGGCGCTTTTACGAAGCTTCACACTACCTCTTACATTCTTTCAGATCATAACGATATTGTTTTCATAATCTTTGCGTATTCCCTGGCTCCTTAAGGAATGCCTCAGTATGCAGACCGGAGGTGGACTCAATTGCAAACCATGTCAAAGTCGATGGTTCCTCAACAGAGAGTAAGCTGATATTCCCTAGTTGTCCGAGCTCGTTGTTCCACCACCTGAAAATGATCTCTCGTATTAACTCCGCTTCTGAACGTTTAGTGCATGTTTGGCTCTTTAGCATCAAGCTTCCTTGAAATACGACCGTCAGTGGCTTCTCCAAAATCCTGCAGAATTTGGAAATAAATAGTTGAACACTTTTCTGACGGGCTGTAATATCAGTATCGGGGAAATTAGAAGCACTGTTCGACCAGTCTACCCCTCCCCCCCCCTTCCGCGAACCGAAAGGAGCATCGGGCATTGTAGATGAATGACTGAATTGGCAACCAGTAGTTATTCATACTTCTGGGCTTACTCTTCTGCACTATGATGCGATAGTCCAGTCGTCTAGAAATTTTGCTTCTATCAGAAAGCTGCACAAAATCCAGAATCCTTGATCAGTGGTTCAACTCCGGATTTCATGAGTTATACGATACTACCGTCATCCTCATGATCCCTTCTTAGCTATGATTCTTTCGTGTCACTTCTGCACGAGCAATTAGAATCGAGGAAATCACACCTTTTTGAAAGGCACGTCCTCACTGTATTTTATTTTTCGGTGAGGCCCTAGCAAAAGCGCTGTGCAGAAACCTCCATCCTAATTTTTGTTTGGAGAGGAGTTTATAAAAGTAAATGCAATAGGTGCCACCGCATTTAGATCAACTGCAGGTGAAGATCCGACGATCCCCATAAACTACATCAATATAATTAAAGAGCCTGAGCGTACCCCATCCCTGATCATCCTGGTTTCGCTGCCCATGTGCTGAATAATGGTAATAATTTTAAAACCGGCCATCTCCTGTATGGTGGTTCATCGGCATCGCGACAAGACGCAGCTCTTTACCAATGAGTCGCTTCACATCGTAGGTAGCAAAAACAAAATTTGCAAAATTCTGCCGCTGCTTCGGTTCCATTGATATTTCCGCTCCTCCGGCTATGAGTAGTTCTTAATTGGTGACTGACTAACCTTACCATCAGTCTGGTCAGGGAACCACCATTGCTATTTCATGATCTTCTACTTCTCACTTCGACTTCTGCCAATTTCGTCGAAAAATTGCAATGATTGCAAATGAAAGTTTTTCTCTTGTCTTTCGTGATGTCAACGATGAAATCGAAATTTACAGCTCAGTTATAAATATGAATGTTTATAGCTCAAGTTACGACAAGCTGTTCTGCTAGAAGCGAACTTTCCTTCTATTGAAATATATGTACAATCACACCATTTTTCTTTTAGAAAATTTGCATTTCGACTACTTGAATTGAAACTATATGTTTCGGAAATCGAGACTTTGAATCTAGATTCGGCACCGTTGTTTGCAAACGCCGATCATGAGATACGTGACAACGCGTTCCCACTGAATATTCACTTATCACCGTCATGCATACGTAATGAGCCTTTGCCTTTCGACCGGCGGTGCGCAACCGTTTCCACTCGAAACTCGACAGATATCATTTCCGATCTCTCGTTGGGTTGCTCAGTTCCTTGTGATAGCTGTATGGATTCAACTTCTGCAATGCCTGATGGACTATTCACTGACGGCATTAGCCCTACGGTGAACTGGTGCACATATGTCCCCTTTCTAGCACTCGTCTGAAAAACCTCCAGTGGCCGACGAGGATAGACATATCGGTGAGCTATACGCTTTGTGCATTCCGCATGAGTTGAATGGTTCAGCTCATAAAATCCATTCGTTCGTGTCTCCTGCTTGCAGAATAAAGAAATAGAAGGTTGGTCCCCTGCGTAAGATCGGTTTTCCCTCACTTTCATGATCCGCCGAATCATCGACTTCTTTTTTGATGAACTTGACAGAGCGGTGCTGATGTCCGTTTCCGCTTCATCAGCACAGTCCTTTGTTATGAAGGTAGAAGGAGAGTGTAGATTTTTTTTCCTGGTGTAGCGTCTAGCCTCCTGTTTCTCTCCCAGGGTGTGGCAGTGATCTATCAATTTCAAAAGGAGCATGGACGACTGCAATCGACATAGACTAGAACTCACCGCCTGTCGTTTCTGAATTCCACGCTCCGCCGATGAAGCAGGCCTGACCTGGAAAATGTGGTAAATTCTTTAGTACAGCAAGCCGTGTATATTAAAAACGTTGTACTCTTGCGGAATAACCTCAGTGATCTCTGCGACAACTCTGTCAACGTGCAACGATGCGTAATTAGTTTGCCATTAACAACTCTTTCTGTGAAAGGAATAATATCCAGAAGACGGACCGTGACGTGTTTAATGTAATACTTTGCCGAAGGTTAGAAAGCAGTAGTGACAGCTGACTGAAACGAAATTTCTGCAATATTGTGACAGTAGGATGTTTTCATGTAAAATGCCGTCGTAGTTATATCTACAGAAAGCCGTAATGGCTTAGTTACTGTATTGGATTCGATGAGCCGTAGTTACTGTATTGGATTCGATGTGCTATAATGATGTTTGCTTTAAGTTCTAAAAGTTCGGCGACCGTATTTCGTCTGCATTACAAGTTTGATTTGTGTATTGTACGATTTTTCGTCCAAATTCAACCCCAGCCGAGACTTCCTGCTGTCGTGGATGTTCAGGTCAGCGTCGCGACGCACTCTGCAACGGTCAAGTATGACGAGGATCGCTGCACGGCCTCAGACATCGCCGACGTCATCAGGGATATCGGTTATGAGGCGGATGTACTCTCGCAGTTCGGTAAGCTACAAGCTGAACTTTGATCTTCAAAGTACTGTCTTAAATTAAGTTTCGGTTTTGTTTTTGGTGGCTGATGGAAGCTGCAACTCCGGTTGAAAGTTTTTTGACATTTATCTTTGCCGCTTGTTCTTGCTGTGCGTAGCTTCAGTTAAATTTTTTTACAGTCTTGTTCACACTACAGCGACAAAGTTCGTTGAAGTTGGATGTAAATTTCTCGGGATTTCTTAATACGAAGCGTCTCCTCCATCAGCAAACGAGAAGTAAGGGAGCAGTACATTTCAGTACCGTGTTAAATGATCATTAAGGCGCTTATCCGTTTGCTAAAGCAAAGAACGTAGAAAGCCGTTTTACGGAAAAGACTTTTGTCTAAACTCCGCCATGGCCGGTCCCAAGCCCGGATGAGAAAGGAGGAGGGTTGGAGACCGTGGCAAGTC